CTTTGCCACGCCCGGCCCAACTTTTCCTGTTCACTGCTTCCTGATCAGTTAATGTTGCAAATTCTACGAATATTCTTGTTCACTACTTTATCTAAGTTTAAGACTATAGAACATTGGAAGTTCTATGAGTTTTCCAACGGGAGTATTACATTATTGGAAGAAAGTTACGCACTTTCCATCCTTTATAACATTATTGTTATTTTATTTTTGGAGGGGGGAGGTATAAATATTATCGGTTTTGATTTAGCTGTTACTTGTGCTCATTAATACGCACTTAACGTCAATAAGTAAAATATTCGATTTTACAGTAATGATTTATGAAGTGTATTGGCTCATAAAAACCTCTAATCTCTTATTATTCTGACCAACTTCACGTAAACATACAAAGAATCGTGCGTATTATAATACGATTAAATGGATTACCGCGATCGACAGCCAAGGCTTCAACTTCATTGGGCGGCTTCGACGCACGCGCGGGAATTATTTACTATTCATCCTAGCTTTTGCGCGTGCATGCACGTGTGTTAAGGGGGAACATACACAAAACCACGTGCTTAAATGTTTGGACATAGTGGTCAGTAAATAATACGTCGTATTTCCCGCCTGCTGACCGCATGTGACTGAAATGTGATATTGTTCATTTACTCAGATATTCGAACAGTTGTAATTTATAAAATGGATTTCGGTAACATTACTACAGGTACGTTTCTTTAACCATTTACGCATTAGGAGTATTTTTTCTATCAAAGTACAAATGTTGTTTAATATAAACATATATATATATATATATATATACGATTCAGATGTACTAATAAGGATAAGGAGTTGAGTCCAAGGTTTTATTTGATATTCTTTTTTGATATTATAAGGATATTTCGAGCTCCTCTGCCTGCTATAATAGATCGATATGTATAAACATGCTCTCAACTTTATACTGACACCTCCTGTTCTGTTCTGAGTTTCATTTTCTGCTGTTTTGTTTTTAGTTTCATAACAAGAAATATTGGTTTATATATTCGTTTAATAAATCGTTAGTCTGTAAAACTTTTACAGTTACAGGCTTAACTTTTGTCTCGTAACCAAGCAACTGTTTTACATAATCTGTATCTAAAAACCTTGTGGTACTTTTGATCAGCCTTACGTGTAGCCCCCACCCGCCTGGCGCCCCATTAGTTTCTTCATTATTCAATATCGGAGAGGTCGACTTTATTTGTTTCAAATCCTTTAGGTTTGGTTTTGAACATATAAAATATACTCTCTACTCTTATTCAAGCATGTTATCTCAGAATCGGTATTTTTCCTTAGATTCTTCTGGTTGTGCTGATAAATTTTCTACTTTTTCCCTAAATTATTTTCTCGTCAGTCCCCACTGTCCAAATCATTCCTTTGCTACATTCAAAATTTTAAAAAACTTTCTACCTTATTTGTTTATTTTTTCGATAAATATGTGTGTGTGTTGTTATAGCAAAGCCACATCGGGCTATCTGCTGTGTCCACCGAGAGGAATCGAACTCCTGATTGTAGCATTTTTAATCCAATGGTTTACTGCTGTCCCACAGGGGAATGTTTTGATAAGTAAGAAAACATTAAAAAAATTCGAGAACAGTCCAAATATCAGTGTACTACACAAAGTTTACTTTTTTCTGTACGCATTTATTGTAAAGGCACTTATTACCATATTTGAGCCTTTGGGTTGCTAAGGCCTCGAGTTAGAATGATGATAATATACGTTGATTGTATAGACTGGATTCGGTAATATTAAAATAAAATCGTTATGTTCTATAAACATTCTTTAATCGAAGAGACTGGAAAATTCAGCAGAGGAACATAGTAGTTCGCAAACATTTTCCATTTCTCACAACTCTTGATAATGGGAAGTTTACGGTTTCTGAAATTTTGACATTTTAGCACTTATATTTTCATTTACTTGTATGTAGCGCTCAGGTGAATTGATGATTTTCGCTGCAAGTTACTTTCCACTTAAAAACATTTGTTGAACATGTCGAAAATGTCTTCGAAAAACTAGCATAGAGAGCCAACGATTCATTTTTCTTTTCGAAACTTCTATGGGTATGTTGTCCCCTTACTGTTCCTTGCTAGGATTTCAATCCAAGCTGTTAAAACACTATGGGTATGTTGTCCCCTTACTGTTCCTTGCTAGGATTTCAATCCAAGCTCTTAAAACACTATGGGTATGTTGTCCCCTTACTGTTACTTGCTAGGATT